AGACCTGAATGTCAATCCCAAGTCATTTATACTGTCAGTAAATCTCTTTCCTAACTGAATCCAACAGTCACCATGTTTATCTTGAGAAGTTATCTTCAACCTGCATTTTATTAAATTTAAAAATTATGCTTTTATAAAACACATAATCCCAAAAAACTATAGTGTTCTAAAAATCCCATGGATCTTTGGCTTCTCATTACTTTTAAAGAATATGTAGCTAATCTCCTCCTGTCTTCCAGAGAGAAGGATGAATTTATTTATCACATTTCCAAATGCTTTCATGCATTCCTGATGCACAGGTCTATATTTTATTTCTCTTGTCATGATTTTTAAATAATTTTTTAAATTTTTATTTTTACTTACTAACTTTACAGAGCCCAAACTTCTTTTTTGCCCTTCAAAAATATTTTTACAGAACACCAAAGCCAGTACTTAATTCAGTCAATTTAAGAAGAAAAATCTGCTGGATCTGTTGTTTGGCTTCAAGTAACAAAACAACTAGTTAATTGATTGCATTTTGTTTTTGCTTGTTTGTTTTTTTTTTTTTTTTTTTGAGGAGGGGACATTTCAGCCAGAATACTTTGACTTCAGGAAATTCATGTAATTTAATCACTATCTTTGAGATCATGAAGAATTATTTCAAAGATTGCATACACCAGCTGTTTTCATTTCTGCAGTGAACAAATTATGGTTGAGAATTTAAATTAGAGAAAAATATTGAGAACCAAATTCAGAATGAGAAATGTATCACATTTATGGTGTGTACAAACCTAAGCTGAATTTAAATAATCATGTATTTGCCCTTTGAAAACAGTAAGTTTTTCCTATGGCTACAGAAATGTTGCCTTTTTCAATGTTTCACCAACCAATGAAGCTCATACACATAAAAGATTTTCCAATATACATATGCTTGAAGATATGGAAAGTAACCTAAGATATACTAGTGCTTATTTAACTGGTAACTGGAACAAGAGACATCAGTTATCTATCTGGTTTTGAATTAGAAAACCTTATTAAATTTATGCCGTCTCTGGCACTGTGTTTGCAGTCTGATAACTTGCAAACCAGAACTCTGCTCCTGGTGATAAATGACTACGTAGCCCATTACTGTGCTGACACAAACTCTTGGGGGAAGAGAAATTATTTATCAATCAAGAATCCTACTGATTTGAGGATGGCTCTGCAAATGCACAGGAGGCTTTCCAGATGCATTTACTACCAGGTTAATTTGCATGTTAGCCTTTCTATTTGGGAGATATTAACTTAAATGCCATGCTTTCATTCAGTTTGTACAAAGAAACTGTAAACCAGGTGAAGTAATAGCCTAAGTTCAGAAGTTCACTTCAGTTTAATATGGTCATTTCAAGGAGTACACAAACGGTTAAGCACTTGGCCCAGTGGTAAGAACTTCTTACACTGCAATCCCAAAGGCACATGGTTCAAATTCACTAAGTGCTCCCTGGGAAAAGGATGAGCCATCTCCTCCCATGTGATTAACAGCCTCTGAAAACCCACTAGAAGGGGAGCTGTGAGTCAGTTCCGACTCGATGGCACACAATAATGGTTAGCAGTTCAAATCCATCAAAAGGCTCCTCAGAAGACAGGCCTGTTGCTGAAAGGCCAAAAGGCTTGAAAATCTTACGGAGCCATATGAGAAGTTGGAATTGAATTGACAGCAACTAATAACAATAACGTGATTACTGCTTTTGTCTAAGTAGGATACATCCCATTAGTTTGTTTTGAACTTTCAACAGAAGTATATTTCCACTTGGTGTCATGAAACTGAAATTGCATAATCCAATTTTCATGGTGCTCTGGTCTGTGATCTGGTGGCTTACTGTAGTTCTGTGACCCCACTGAGCTCTCAGAATATAAACACCCTGTTCTGGACAGAGGTCCCGTAAGTGAGGTCTCTGGACCAGCAGCAGGAGCATCTCCTGGGAGTTCACACATACTCAGAATTCACTCCAGATTTCTGGAGAAGGGTCTAGCAGTCTAAAGAGAGTCTAAATAGTCAATTATTGCCACTTATGCTCCAGAAAATTGCTATCCTGAAGGAGTTTACAGTGAACCTAAGGTTTTCGCTAAAGAGCCCTGTTGGTGCAGTGAGTAAAGAGCTGGAATTTTGGATATATGATTGGGCATTATTGTCATGCCAGGAGTCTAGAATGAAGGCTGCACAGTAGAGTGGACTTGGGGGGAGGGATTGCATAACAAAGAAAGAGTTTTATTTTCAAGAAGAGTGATTTGGGGAGGAGGGGGTGGCAGGGAGAAAAGTACAATAAATGACTGGAAACCCTAAGTTTCTGTACACTTTCATTAAAATTAATTTTTTAAAAAAGAGCTAGGCTTTTAACCAAAAGGTCAACAGTTCAAACCTACCAGTCGCTCTGCAGGAGAAAGATGAAGTAGTGTGCTCCCATAAAGATTTCTAGCCTAGGAAACCCTTTGGGACAGTATGACTCTATCCTGTAGGGTTGCTGTGAGAATGTACTGTACAGTAGTGAGTGAATTAAGATAGTCCTTTGATTCTCACTGAGAAATTACAGTTCTAAACACTTCGAAAGGAGCTTTGAAGAACTGTTGTCCCACAACTCCTAGCCATTCCCTGTAGAATCAACATCTCCAAAGCCATCTCTCCTCGGTAACAACTCAGTTCTTGAGAATATCCTAGATCAGCTGTAGCATTGTTGTTGTTATGTGCCATCAAGTCTTTTGCGACTCACAGCAACCCCACGTACAATAATTCCAAACTCTGCACTGTCTTGAGCCAATTTCACTGTACTACTCCCATTTCACACCTATCACCATTGTCCCAGTTACTGTGTCATTCCATCTCATCTGGGGTCTTCCTCTTCTACATTGTCCCTCCACCCTTCCAAACATGACCAAGGACCAGGCTATGTACCCAAAGTATGTGAGATGGAGCTTCAAATTCCTAGTCTTCAAGGAAAAACTTGGTTTCACTTTCTCCGGAAGAGACCTGTTTGTTCTCTTGGTGGTCCACGGTATGTTCAACACTTTTCTCCAGCACCACTACTCAAAAGCATTGATGATTCTTCTATCAACCTTAGTCATTGTATAGCTCTCTGATGTATGGCAAGTAATTGTGAAGGCCATGGCATGAATCAGGTGCACCTTAGTCTCTAGAGTGGAATCATATGATGCTAAAATGAAAGGTCATTTATCCACTTAATCAGTAGCTATTTCTTTGACATCTATTCAGCCCTAGTTGCATATGTGAAGCAAGGGTCTCGTAGTCTAGCCAACAAGAACATGAACACACAAATATATAATGAGGAAATAAGACCATGTCCAGCAGAAAAGAATCAGATTCTGTTTCAAAGGATATACTACAGAATTAACTACTGGTTGGACAATAGGTCTTAACTCACTGCCACTGCATCAGTTCTGACCATAGCAGTCCTCCATTTGGTATCCAACATTGTAAACCCTTTTTTCTCCTTCAGAGCCACTGGTAGATTCAACATCTGGAGACATGCCCAGCCTTTGGATTATAACTCACTACCGACTACACTGATGGACTTTAGTGTCAGAGATGATGATGATGGCCCAGGATAGGACAGGATTCAGATCTATTGTTCATAGGGTCGCTAGGAGTCATACTCAATGACACTTAACAACAACAACATACTTTCTTTCTCCTCTATTCTATTTCAGGCCCCTGACTACTTCAAGCCCTTGTCATTTCTCACCTCTTAGAATGAACTTTGACTACATTTTCTCTATCTAACTCCTCTTTGTCTGACTCGTTCTACACAGTGTCGACAAATTTGTCTTTCCAAACATCCCTAATGATCATCCCTCCACCTTTCCAAACAAGATGTCCTCCTCCAAGAAATAAACCTTCTTAGCAACATGCCCAAAGTATACAAGATGAAATTTCATCAAGAAAGTGTATTATGGACTAGAATCCAAAGGATTTTTACTGAAAAGTGAGATCTTTTGTGAAGGAGGAGGATAAGTGGGGGCATGGATGGGAAAGCTGGAAGACTAAAGAAGTGTGATTGCTGTATTACTCATACTAAAACAAAGACAAGATTAAGCAGAAACTTAGTATGGGGAGCATGTTGTATATGAAGTCTATGTTTAACATGAACATTTAGTAGTTCAGGGGCTGGTGGGAACAGGGGACAACTAGTGGTTTAGAAGAAAGAGAGCAGGATTGGGAATCAATTAGGGAGGCATCTACATAGAAGTGATTACTGATGTTATAGGAGGAAATGTGAGTTTTAAGGAAAATTAGACTGGTTTCTGCTGGGGAGTAGGGGTGGAATCCCCTAAGAGGAATGAAAGCCTGTAGGAATTAGAAGAGAGATGTTCATGAATGAACCAGGGAAAGTAGAAGAATGCAGAACTATGTAAACAAAGGTTGAAACTTTTGGAGGCCAGGTGAGACTTACCTATACAACCAAGCATTTGTTTATGGTTGTTCTGATTCATAAGTGCTCCTTCCTTATCAATCTGTTTACTGGCCTTTAAATTTTATATATATATAAAATCTAGATTAGATATATATATTTAGTATTTAGATTAGCTATATAGTATTTAGATTATACATATACATATATATGTATATGTATGTATGTATGTATATATGTGTGTGTGTGTGTGTGTGTGTGTGTATATATATAAATAAATTGCCGTCAATTCGAGCACAACTCGTAGCAACCCTATGAACAAAAGGCCTGAAGCCGTTCTAGAACTATCTTCATTTCTCCAAGTTCATAGAGTTCCCAGAAGTATGTGGTTTAGGAACACTTTCACTTTGCTCAGCTTCAAACTGTTATATTTTCCAAATCTAGCATGTGAAATTACTAGATCCTCAGCCTTTGTCTTTTATTTTCTCTAAGTTTGTTTTTTTTAAAAAAAAAAATCGCGGCAATGAATGAATGGAAATCCAAAACCTCTGTAAAAAAAAAAATAAGAAGAAAAAAATATTAAAAAAGTGATAAAAAAATCAACATTCACTTTATTTTTTAGCTTGACCTTTTAAGTAAATCTTTAGCTTCATTGATTTTGGCTACTATATAAGGAGATCCTCCCTTGTCTGGGTGATTTAAGAGCATAATTTGTCTAGGAGCATCTCCTGTTTTTCCTTTTTTGGCAGTAGGGCTTACACCTACTATGAATGCTGCTTCCCATTTTGTTATTTTGGGTTCAAATCCACCTCTGAAGGCAGATTTTGGTAGACTTTGCAAAACTTGTTTTAGTTGAGGCTCCACATGCTTCATGGCTTGCAAAGCATAATGGCCTGCGAATCCTGCAGCAGCAATGGTCAGTCCAACTACTACCATTGTACTGACCATGACTCCAGCTCGGCTCTCCTGCATCTACGGACACCGTGGCTCAAGACAACCCAGAGGCTGTGGCCACGCTCCTGACACCTCAGAAAGCCGCACACTATTGACACCTGCAAATCCCCCTGCACCAGGGTCCCAGGAAACAGCTGTAAGGACCGTAAAGCTAGCAGAATCTGGTCTTTATATATATTATACAGAGGCATTTGACTAAAAAAAAAAAGGCGTTTGACTATGGAAAGTTGCTGTGAGTTGGTAGCAACTTAACAGTGGTGGGTGGATTAATTATATTAATTTCTATTACAGAATAGCTTATTGTATAGTATTTTCTATTATTTCTTAATCATATGTTTATATCACAAAAAAAGTGGATCCACAATGGGAGGGGACAGTCCTTGCAAAAGACACCATGCTTGGAAAGGTAGAGAGTGAGTGAAGGAGAGGAAGACCCACAACAAGACGGATTGAGACAGTGACGGTAAAAATGAGTGGGACTTTAGTATATCAGGGCTGATGAGAATGCACAGGATAGAGTAGGGTTCTGATTTGTTGTTCATAAGGTTGCTTTGAGTTGTAGTTAACTCGATGGCATCCAACAAGAATGGACTTTCTCTTTGGGGATGGCCACAGTCTTGCTTTGGTAAACTACTATTGTCAGTAAAAGTTGGATTTAGACAATATATACACTATATTCTGACCATAAAATAAAGAGAACACACTAAAAAATCAAGAGAACACGAAAATCTTATACATTTATAAATTATTCCTACTTTGTAAACTTTATGCATGTGTGTAAAAACCACTAGTGTAAGTTCCCAAGGGCTGCCATGACAAAATATTACAAAGTGAGAAAGTAGGTGGCTTAAAAGAATGAAAATGTATTGTTTCACAGTTTTGAAAGGTAGTAGTCAGAATTCATGGTATTTTCAAGGCCACATTCTCTCTTAAGGCTACAGGGGAAGATCCTTACTTGTCACTCCCAGGGTAGCACCAGGCATTCTTTGACTTACACTTGTGACATAAATCCACGGTCACCTGCCCATCTCCCTTCCACCCCTGAGCCTTTTCTTTTCATTACAAGGACACCACCAGTCATAATGGATTGTCGTTGTTGTTATGTGCTGTTGAGTCGGAACCAACTTATAGCCGACCCTACAGCTGCTTTTCAGAAACTGTAAATCACATGGGAGGAGACTGCCCCTCTTTCTCTTGAAGAGAAGCTGGTGGCTTCTAACTGCCAGAGAGACACCACCTTTGAGTGAACAGCGCAACTCTGCATGGACCACCATGGCCCTCAAACACTTGGGTTCTTTGTGTAAAAGGGGGGAAGGGGAGGGGGGATGGGGGAAATCTCCAGACTCTAATACACTTTAAAAATTATAATATTAGATTTTAAGGTGTTTTTTTTATGTGATATTTGTTATTCTTACAATCAAATTGATTGACATTATGAAAATGAGTAATACAATATTTTGGGTAGAAGAAAAATGTGACCAGTAAAGCAACGTTTCTTCTACATATTGCCCACAGTTCAATAATGATCTCAGTGCTTATGTCCAAGAACTGGCTCCTAGTAATAAAGTACTATCCTTCCAAATATGGTTTATTTTCTCTTCAATAGAAAACTAGCACAGTATGCAGAATCTAAAAATCATTCTTCCACAATAAAGCCAGATGGGTTTTTCTATTTATTAAAGAGGGTTAAAAACAACTAAAGGAGGAGTGGGTGATTTTTAGGTTACTTAGAGTAAGAGCATATTATCCAAACTGTAACTTTGCTAAACAATCAATATCCTCTATGATTTATGTATTTAACATGCTGGAAGTTAACAATTCTTTGCTCTCGTCATTGATTTTTCTCCTACCATTTTCATGACAACAACAACAATCAAAATGTGATCCCTTATGCTTACTAATTAGTTCCAAGATATTTGGCATAATTGAGTTCTTAATGGAAATGAATGAACACTTCTTTTTCTGGTCTCCCAGAAATGATGTGTTTGGACTGACTTGTGAAAGACAGTGAATGCTTGCTTTTTTCTTGGTAGAGCAGCAATTTCAACTTAACTCTATAATGCTTTTTACAGACAATAAAGACTACGATGCATACTTATCATACACCAAAGTGGATCCTGACCAGTGGAATCAAGAGACTGGGGAAGAAGAACGTTTTGCCCTTGAAATCCTACCTGATATGCTTGAAAAGCATTATGGGTATAAGTTGTTTATACCAGATAGAGACTTAATTCCGACCGGAAGTAAGTTAATGTTTTTGTTTCATAATCTCAATATTCCTGCATGTGCTTGTGTAGTCATCATCACCCCTTCCCCGAGGTCATCCTTTATTTTTTTATTATTTGCCTTAACGACTTTATCTACTATATTCTTTTTAAAAAAGTTCTATGTATTTAAACAAATATTTTTTAACCACTTAAGAGCTAGGTTTATCATTTTATAAGGCAGATCATATAGTATGAGCTTTTTTGACACTTAAACCAGATGAACAATTTGTTCAGGGAGTAATATTTCTAATATTAGGGAAAGCAAGGGTCAAACTCTGTTGAAAGTCATCAGGGGTTGTTTTCATCTTCTCAGTATATTACTCTGGAAACCTCGCAATCAATGCATGAAAGATATTCTACCAGGGATTTGTGATGCAAATGTTGAATTCACTCATTCTGACACACCATCTTCTCTTTTCTAGCATACATTGAAGATGTGGCAAGATGTGTGGATCAAAGCAAACGGCTGATTATTGTCATGACCCCCAATTATGTAGTCAGAAGGGGCTGGAGTATCTTTGAACTGGAGACCAGGCTTCGAAACATGCTTGTGACTGGAGAAATCAAAGTGATACTGATTGAGTGCAGTGAGCTCCGAGGAATTATGAACTACCAGGAGGTGGAGGCCCTCAAGCACACCATCAAGCTCCTGACGGTGATTAAATGGCATGGACCAAAATGCAACAAGTTGAACTCGAAGTTCTGGAAACGTTTACAGTATGAAATGCCTTTTAAGAGGATAGAGCCCATTACCCATGAGCAGGCTTTAGATGTCAGCGAGCAAGGGCCTTTCGGGGAGCTGCAGACTGTCTCGGCCATTTCCATGGCTGCGGCCACCTCCACCGCTCTCGCCACTGCCCATCCAGATCTCCGCTCCACCTTTCACAACACCTACCATTCACAAATGCGGCAGAAACACTACTACCGAAGCTACGAGTACGACGTACCTCCCACCGGCACCCTGCCTCTTACCTCCATAGGAAATCAGCATACCTACTGTAACATCCCTATGACACTCATCAACGGGCAGCGGCCACAGACAAAATCTAGCAGGGAGCAGAATCCAGATGAGGCCCACACAAACAGTGCCATCCTGCCACTGCTGCCAAGGGAGACCAGTATATCCAGCGTGATTTGGTGACAGAAAAGCAAGGGACAAGCTGTCCCTTGGCACTTGAGTGAAGTCCGCAGTCCAGTGCCTGGAACTAAATCCTCGACTGCTGCTGTTAAAAACATGCATTACAATCTCTAGAACACGAGGAAAAACAGGGTCTTGTACATATGTTTTTTGCAATTTATTTGTAGCATCAGTGTCTTCCTGTTTTACCATGTCTCTTACCATTACATTTTTTTGACTTTGTTTTATATGTCATTGGAATTTGTATATTTACATTTTTTTAAAGAAGAGACTGATATGTAGATAGGAACTCCCTCCCCCCTTTTTTTTTCTTCATTAGTTAGTTTTGGATTGGATTTTTCTTTTTCTCTTCTCAATTTGATTTCACTTTTAGCATTTCCTTGGGGTGCTTGGACAAATCTATCCACTAGGACAAGGAGCACCATATCCTCTTCTCGGGTTCTGCCTAGGATCAGCAGGGCCACTTCGGCCATCAGCGAGCAGTGCAACCAACGCCAGCATTGCCATTTGGAGGGGGGGGGAAAGATGAGAAGAACCCTTGTTCATAGGAGGGCCACACAAATCAGGGCCCTGAATCTCTTCCTTGTCCCGCCTCACACCCCACCTCAACCCTTCTAATGGCGGCATGATGTGTAAACTCTGTGGAGGGGTGGGGGTGGGTCTAGTTGTCTTAACATTTACTTCACTGTTCGTCAGAATACACTCCAGACCCAAAGATGTGCTAGTCACTTGATAGTGACCACTACAGAGTGCTAAGAAGAAAAGATCAAGGGCATGAAAATGGGGGAGAGAGTGTTGTTTCTGTTTTTTAAATGAGTTGATGTACCCTTATATATATATATGGAAAAAATGCAACAAAACTAAACAAAAAAAAAACACAAAAAAAGAAAAAAAAGTAAAAAAAAACCACAAACAAAAACAAAATAACAAAAAAAAAAAAAACCAAACAACAACAACAGCAGCAAAAATCAAGCCCTATATTTGATCACTTCCTGGAAAGGCATGAATGTGTTTGTGGCTGTTTTTGTTTAATAATCTACTTCCTCTTTTCCCTCTATAATTTTCTGCAAATGAGATTATGTGCAAATGCCAGGCAAGTAAACTCTAAAGGGTGAAATCTACAGCAAGTCAAAATGAAATTTACATTGAAGGCTTCCAAACCAAAGGGAAGGACAGGATGTGTCATCAAATATGTTTTGTCACCTTGTATTATACAAAATGTTATTTTCTAAAGAGTCGGAGCAAATCTGTGAGACTTATTATGGAGTCCCCTTGTACTTAAATGTTAATTCACTGTGTTTCATTTTCCACATGACATTCAGAATCAAGTCCCTGATTCCAGTTTGTTAAAAGATGTGACACTTATTAACATTAAAGTGTTTAGATAAGAACTCAGGAGGTCAAACATATAAATACCGAAATCAGTATTTTCAAAGTAAACAACAGTTACACAAACGATTTTTTTAATTAGATCAGAAAATGATTAAAATAATGAAATTTTCTGTACAAAGAATTAATTTTCTTTTATGATTTTATTATGATTCTATCTTTCAGAAACAAAACTGACGTTCCCAGGAAATTCATCTCATACCATTTAGCTTTCTGTTTCAAGTCAGTGAGTGACAACAGCAGCAAATTCATATCATACTGAAGAGGACGCAAAATAATCATAAATTAACCTGCAGAGGGCAGAGTTGCTAAAAGGAAATATTACCTATGTAGCTTTTAGTTAAGAAATAAATAAATGTGATTTTTAAAAAAAAACACACACGCACACACACAACAAAAAACAAAAACAAAAAACAACCAACACACACTGATAACAGAACTTACACATTGCTTTAGTGATTTCATTGCAGGAATTTCCATCCCAGTCATTGTCTGTTGGCTTGTGTAGTGACTATATTGTATGTTTGGTTTATTCCTTCCAACATATAATAAGAAATCAATTCTACAGTTCTGGTCACAACAGTAAGATGTGAGTTGGCCACACACACACACACACACACACACACACACAAGTGTAAACTGCAATGGAGCTTACTGAGGAGGGGTAAGATTGCATCGCAAATGTCTGAGGAATGAGTGTGTAAGCATTTGGTAAACAGTGCAAAAAAAGTCTCAGGAACTGTGTGACAAGGTAAAGGAGCTTTGGGATGTGCATTGCTTTTTATTTGCTTCGAAAATGTTTATTTATTTCCCTGACAACTCGCCTGGGTCCTTCTCTACAATCTGTTCTTTATGCCTGTGCTCCCCTTGGACCGGTGTCACATTTTCACACACCAGAACTGAAGCTACAAGGACACATACAACTGTAAGGTCAGCTTTGCACACTGGGTTATTTTCTGAATCCAAGAAGGCCATTTTTATACTTTATACTATGGACACCTGTCAGGGACTGGTGGCAGTGAACTGCATTGGACTGGATTACAAACTCCCCCAGTGCTTAGGAAACTGTAAACACAGCAATGGCCTGGTTTTTCTCTTTGTTTTGTTGGGGTTTTTTTCTTTTAAAAAGTGCACGATGGAAGTGTGGAATAAAATATAGAGGAAGTAAACAGACCACAGTCATATTTTAGGTATCCATAGGTGTTTATTTAGCTGCATTGGGAGTATATTTTTGTTCAATTTTTAGTGTAGATTTAAGCACTTTGAATAGCATGATTCAGCGATTGATGGGTAATAGTTGATATTCTCACAATAAGAAATGTTTTTTTCTCTAATGCTTTGTCATATTTTTTTTTAAAAAAATGAAATAAATGGAGAAGAAGCTATCAATGGCTTCAGAAACATTCCTCCCAAGTATTCCTCTATCAGCTCCTTGTGAGAACAAATGAAGGAAACTGTCATGTGTTAACGTGCTATCTGTTTAACAAAAGTTCTGTTAGAACTCATAATAAAAAAGAGAAAAAAAATGTCTTTTCCCTAGTGCTTAGGTTTTATCCTTCTCTTCTTTCACTGGGGGCTGTGGGGATATGAATATTCCAGTTGTAACAACACAGTTGAAAGTGTGAATATGTTAGCTAAGTTTGGGGACAGAATGGGATTCAAGACTGGGACATATGTAACATTTGGGATTTTGCCTGATTTTCATCAATTGTTGCTTAGGGCCTGAGTAACATGTTATTGATTCAAAACTCTATCTGGTTCCTTAATGTGACCTCAATTTACTGCCTGTGAGCATCCCACTCTTGATTCTGATGCTCAAATACCTGATTATTTAAATAGCCCTCAATTTCTTAGGTCTCCTATGGGCAGAGAAGAATCTCTGATCAGGTAACTGACTTAGGTGGCGATAAATCCTAAGAAATAAGTCAAAGATGGGATGAGAGAAGAGACCTGAATTTATTGTACTTCTATAGCTAAAAATCTGATTGTTCAAACTTTCAATCATTATGGAAATGATTATTGCTTTCTTTAGAGAATATGTATTTGGACGTTGTTGACTTAATTTTAAATGTCTAGAAGTTGGTTTCCTCATTTTGTTATTATTTAGCCTTTTATAACAAAGAAAATATTAACTGAGAGTCACTTCCCAAGTTCTAAGTTTTGTTCATTCTAGAGTAGTTATTAACTTTGACAGATACCATTTATGTAAATTAAGGTAACCACATCTTGGAAAACTTAAATTCATACGTTTGTAAATTATCCTTTACATTCTGGAATGGTACCTTAGTCATCCTTCTTTTAAAAAGTTGGTTTTAAATCTTGCACTTAATTTCTGTCTTTGTTACTTAATTTAAAGTTATATCATTAGTCTCAGGAGAAAGCTTATTGAGACTCAAAGGAGAACACAGGTATTTTTCAAGTGAATAATCTGAACGTAACGCAGACACTGAGGAACCAAATTCCTTATTGTCTGTCACATGAACTTGGTTGGTCATTATTCTCAGTACTACTAGAGGTTAAAGGGCACTTTGGTGGCTTAGTGGTAAGGAGTTGTACTGCCAACTCAAAGATATGCAGTTTGAATCCACTAGTCACCACTTGGGAGAAAGATCAGCAATCTCCTCTCGACTGTACACAGCCCCTGAAAACCCACTGGAGGGTCAGCTAGGAGTTCGTTCCGACTAGACGGTATATAACAACAACAACTGAACAGAAATATTATTGGGTCAGAAATCCCAACTACATATTTCCCTGTCATCGAAGACTTTTTAAAAAACAATACAGAGTTATTTTCAAGAGATGGCAACGCTACCAAGTGTTTTTAAAAAGGAGGAGCTTGTCATTGGAGAAAATGTATTTCTTGCCTTAACATGAAACCCTCCCACTTTATTGTTCTGAACAAAGAATCTACATTAAAATGTTGACTATCAATTGCAATGGACCCTAAGTTTGGATTCAAAGGACACTATGTGTCTTTAAAAAGGATGAAAAGAAATGATGCCTTGATATTTTAGACAAAATCGTGAATGTATGCAAAATGGTTTTCCTGGGTGTGAATCTCAAAAATTTCCATCACCTAGAAAGCTACTGCTGTTGGATTTAAGAGAATCTTCTTGGAAATTGACATTCAGATAAACACGTGCATATATGTATATCTTGCAGGCAGTATGATATCTACCATTTCGTAACTCCATTCGTGAAAAAAAGTAAGGAGTTGATCAGTGTTCTTTAAAGAAACAATCTTCCAATGTAGTCTAACTTTGTGGGAGACATGATTTAACAATGAGAAAAAAACTCTGTATGAGTGCAAAGAATTCATGCCCAGATAAAGGAAAATTGTGTAGTAGTAGTTATAGTAGTATTGTGATAGCTTACTTATTTCAACTACTCAAAAGAGAAGGGAATGCAAAATCATGTAATTTGGCCTTAAACATGTTCACTATTTGAATTTAATCATGTTCCCTACAATAAAAATATGAATTCACTTGGTGCAGAAAAAGAAGAAACACTATTTTACATGTTTTCCCAAAATGTCCTAGTTTTTTTAACAGAGATTTAGAATCAGTGAGATACTCTAAGTAATTATGGTGTGGAGTGGGGTGGGGGTCGTTTTGCAAGTTTCAAGACTCATTAATATGATGTTGGGGTAATCTCGAGAATTTTTAGAACCAATTCAGTAAGATGGTTTTTGAAGTTCCACTGTTGCCAAAGGCGGCACCTTGCTGGTTGTTTGGATCCACCGGCTGCTCTTTGGGAGGAAGATGGGTACTCTCTTTTCATGCTGTTTAAAGCCTAGAAAAACCCACTGGAGGGTCACTTAGGAGTTGGTTCCTATTTGAGGGCAATGGGGTTTTGAGTTTTAGGTAACAACATGGACACTTTTGCTATGTTTATAAACTGATATCTTGTCCCAAGGAGCTATAAAAATCTTACTAAATTTCAGTAAAGTAAGTAAAAGATGATGATGAGTTAATCTTATTTCCCTTTGTCATTATCAAACTTCAGTCATATTGATAGAAAATATGGAAAGTAAAAAGTAAGAAATTCAGCCCTACTTTTTCACTGAGTGATACCTTCCTTCTGCACTCAACCCACACCCAAAAAAACCCCTTTGTTATAGACACATAGAACCCTAAATCTTTCCTTCTATCCTTTGGTAAATTCTCTGAATTTAATATGGCCTCTGAGTCCACTGGCAAACTCATCTTCCTGAGTTCTTCATTAAAGTAAAAAAGAAAAGCCATTTTTATCAGACTTTTTTTTTTTTACCATTCCCTTCATTAATAGATCCTCCCAGGTCTACATTGCCTAAAAAAGAATTCATTTTCTAACAAACAAAAGCAATCATTCTTAAAAGAATTATTGCATTGTGTTCCCTTCACTATTAAATGGACAGAACCTGAAAAACTGCACATGAACTTGAGGCTATTACATGTAGCATTGCTGTCATGTAGATGTCAATCTTTATAGTCCAGATAACCTTACACTTTAAAGAGT